TGTGTGGTCAGATGGTTTGTATGAAGTGAAATGAAGTAAAACTGTCTGATGAATCAGGCTAGTCAATTTTTATCACCTCTTAACGATTTTGTCATCTTTTTTGCTTTGAGTCAGTTCGTCACGCTGCCGTTGCCAAAAACCTCACCATCGACTCACTGATGCCGAGCTCACGTACAGCAGCTCTCTTTCGTTCTTCTACAGTCACATCAATTGCCGTTAACTTAAAAGCTGCATTATCTGCATATCTTTATATGTTTCTCACGAGGAAGGTCGAGGGTGTGTGCATGAAGCGCAAAATAACTGTTCAAAACACAATCAAATGAGAATCTTCCTCGGTGCATCACCTCCATCTCTATCTGAGCTACTACTGTGCATGTCTCCTGCAGAAAGAGTCTCTGTCCTGTCTGTATCATGTCAGTGTTCTGCTCCGAATCCATGCGTCAGTGTCTCGTAGGATTTCAGCAGATTTCAGGATCTCTCGAGGGCGGGGTTAGTTGTATCGATCAGGTATGAGTGGATGTCCAGCTACTGAAGTTTGAGACATTTCTTCTCGTCATTTACGCACTCACCTGCATTTAACGCATTAGAGTAAGATGTATCACACTCACTAATGTTAATTTAGCATCATAACTTATTTTATCACACTGCAACTTCATGTTAACCCTAGATCCATGTGTTAACCGCACAGACAGCAGCACTTTCTGCACTCAGGCCGCGCACGCATTTGCTTTGTTACCAAATCATAGATCGTATATATGAATAGACAATGTGCCAAACAAAGAATCCATCCATATATTCGCCGCATCGTTGTATAAGACGCAGGATTCAAAGTGTGAGAAAAAAGTAGCGGCTTATAGTCCGGAAATTACGGTATACTTTTTGTGAAGCTCAAACACAATTTTGAGGGTAGAAAATTTTACTTTTTTCATCCAGAAGTAAATGAACTAATATGTGAACCTTGGAAATTCAAAATAGTTGTTTATTTTTTGTTATAATGTCATAAAAGCAATAGCATTTACATCTGTTAATCAGTTAATCAGTTGAAATTACAATACATCAGCTTCATTTCGCTTCCAGTTGTTTCCACTTCATCATTTTGAATATTCTGATGACACAGGATTTTAAAAGGACTATTTCTCCAGGACTTACTTCTCCTTTAAACAGAATAAGCAGACCCCCATTCAAATGTAGCCGCTGAATGAAATAAATACAATACAATCAAAGGAGGCCACAGCTCAAACATTATATTGACCAAAATGAAACAGCATCTCTCGATATTAAACCCTGCAGTCTCTTATTAATAAAAAGAGCTAAAAAGGAAAGCAGTCATTACATTCAGAACTCCCAGCGCCCCATTTGGCCAAACCAACTATAATTACATTTGAGAATACATCTACGAATCTGAATTGCCTTAAATATTATTACATTACAAACACATTATGTAACTGTTAAAGATAGAAAAAGGAAATAGACGACACACATTCATGAGAGCTTAAAATCAGGTTAGATCTGGTATTGTCTGATCCGCATGGCTTCATAGAATTTATAGTTATGTACACCTCCATTGTTAAAAGCACGACTGAGGGAAGCTATTGTAACTGAACACGGTTAAAGATGCACTATGGAACTTTTCTGGTGGAGGGATTGGTGCTTGCTTGTTGCCACGGAGACGTTATGAACGCATGGGTTTCAGCGTTCCGTTATAGGCAACAGTTTAAAGGTGGGATTTCTGGGATTAAATTAATTGCTGTTGTAGTGTTTAGGGATGTAACAATAACCGAAATATCGTGATATCGTATCGTTAGAAGTCTCACAACAATATCGAGAGCTGTCACAATATATCGAATAATACGTTTCTTTGCTTAAATGTATTGTTAGCTAATAAACATAGGGAACTACATATCCCATGATTCATTTAAGCACAGACAACATGGAGAAATATGTTTTTTACTTGATTACTTGCATACCAAATTTTGGACTTCCGGTCATTGCGCAATGCATACTGGGAAGGGTCCTCCGAAAAACTGAGCATCATACCGCCATGTTTGATTTTACAGTGGGATGCGTCTATTGACAAAGCCGATCTTTTCAAGTCTTTTGAACCATATCGATTTTGTTTCGAGTTCTGATATTGTCATATTTTAGTTATGGGATTCGGACATCGTAATTGTGTGGTTGTTGGATGTTTTAACAGCGGAAATCGGGCTTCAGAAGTTTGCAAACTCCATAACTGTAAAAGGGAATCTGTGTGACTGCAAACCTCCATTCAAACTGTTTCCCTTCCCAAAAATAGTGAAAGGCGAAGGCGATGGGCAGGATTGATCCACAGGAAGGACCAAAATGGAAACCTTTGGTTGCTGAAGAAATCATCCTGAGTTTGCAGCGACCATTTTGTATGTGGACCACCAACAAAGCAAAATCCCGTTTGTTAAGCGAGAGGTGCAGAAGACAAACAGGCTGAGCTCGCATTTTCTTGTTCTTGTGGTTTTACAGCAACATTACGTCTTAGTCGCTTTGCAAGGGAAGGTGTTTCTTGGTGAACAGTTGGAGCCTTTCGCTTTGGCGTTGACTTTTTAAATTCATAAACCAAGGTTTAGCGAGGGATCTGGATTTTGTTTGTTGGCGCTCCACATACAAAATGTTCGCTGCAAACTCGGGATTTCTTAAGCAGCCATAGGTTTCCTTTTAGGTCCTTCCTGTGTATCAATCCTTCGCCTTTCACTATTTTTCAATTCCGTTGGGAAGGGAAACAGTTTGAACGGAGGTTTGCAGTTACACAGATCTGATTCCCTTTTGCAGTTATGGAGTTTGGACACTTCCGAACCCCATTTCTCGAGCTGTTTTCTGCTGTTAGGACATCCAACAACCACACAATTACGATGTCTGAATCCCAAAACTAAAACATGACTATATCAGAACCAGAAACGAAAGCGATATGGTTCAAAAGACTAGAAAAGATCGGCTTTGTCAATAGACACATCCCACTGGGAAATCAAACATGGCGATTTGATGCTCACTTTTTCAGAGGACCCTTCCCAGTATGCATTGCACGATGACTGGAAGTCCGAAATTCAGGATGCATGTATTCTTGGGATTCTGACAGTAATACTTCACATCAAAATCTCATCAAGATATTTTAAAAGCCAAAAAGCGTCCTATCTATAATTATATCAGTCTCTCCAGAATATCGCAGTAAATATCGAACCATGAGATGCATATCGTGACAATGCCATACCGAGAGATTTGGATATCGTTACATCCCTAGTAGCATTCAAAAAATGTCATCAATCTGAAACCCATGAGTTGCTTGGAAAGAACATCTGTGGAGAGGCGACCCCACTCACACACAGTCAGTCAGTTTTTCAAAATATTTCTTAAACAATAAAACTGTGAGTGAACTGAGTCAAATTGAAGGTAGTTACATTTAATGCCATACTACCAAACATTCTAGACAAAGCAATAACATGGACAAAAGCGAAGTTACAAGTCGGATCTACAGAAAGGCGACTCAAATCAGAGTCAGAATCCATGTTTTCAAAATATTTCTTAATAACTGCGTAAAATGGAAGGTAGTTACATTTAATACCATACTAGTACAATGGAACATTCAAGGTAAAGTGGTAACATCTCACACCCGCTGCCAGAAAAGTTCCACAGTGCAGCTTTAAGGGCTTCGATTGGTTCAGGGCCCTGTTTTCCTGATGTGCTCCCGTGTTTGGGATTGAAATGGCTGACACTTCCTATCCACAGAGACGCACATAAACACACACACACACACACACACACACACACACACACACACACACACACGAACACACACACAAACAGATATAAAAGACAAGGTGCAATCAAGGTGGAATCACAGGGAGACATTAAAGACACAACAAACAACGGAGAATCAAAGGCACAGACACACACTGACACACACACTAGACACACACACTGACACACACAGACGCCACACAGACTTTGTTTTTCAAATTGAACGACACACGGCTGCTCTCACACTGGGCGGAAAACTGTCTCATGTCTCGTATGTTTAACAGGTGAACTTTGAATATATATTTGTATTTCATATTTTACATAGATATGGTGTGCAGCAAACCTCACAAAAGAAACATTTATTCAGGAAACGGGCAGACCAGTTTCACTCTAAAACCTCGCTGTGGTAGAAAGTAACATTCAAAAGTAAAAGTACAATTTTTAGGTACCTGTATTTCACTTAAGTCAATTTTACACTGGATACTTTTTACTTTTACTTCACTACATTTGAGAGCAGGTATCTGTACTTTCTACTCCACTATATTTTAGATCTGGACTGAAAAATAAAAAGTACTTTTCTGTATGGTTTCTGTCAGAGATTCTGTCCCAACTTTGAACAAACCAAATATACAAAAAAATAAAAAGATAGAAAAATTAAGGAATCAGTTAAATCACTTAAAAACAGAAAAATTCTTTTTCAAAATATACAACATTTGATGCTTTAATTGTTAAAAAAAAAAATGTTGTAGAATACTTTTACTGTTTACTCTTAAAGTACAATAAACCGGTACTTTTACTTAAGTAGATTTTTTCATGTGGTGCTTTTACTCGAGTAATCTTTTGCACTTGTATCTTTACTTTTACTTAAGTAGATTTTTTCATCTAGTACTTTTACTTAAGTAATCTTTTGCGCCTGTATCTGTACTTTTACTTCAGTACATTTTTTCATCTAGTACTTTTACTTGAGTAATCTTTGTCCCTGTATCTGTACTTTTACTTAAGTAGATTTTTTCATCTAGTACTTTTACTTAAGTAATCTTTTGCGCCTGTATCTGTACTTTTACTTCAGTACATTTTTTCATCTAGTTCTTTTACTTGAGTAATCTTTTGCACCTTTATTTGTACTTTTACTTGTACTTGTACTTGTACTCCACCGCTGAAAACCAGTACCATCAAATAAAAAGTGGATTCAGGAGTCGAAACATTTCCAGAAACCATTCAAACCTTTTCTACATTAATTCAGGATAGTTCAGACTTTATTGGAAATATGTCAAAAGTAGAATAATGGAAAATAGTACTTTTTTGAAGTATAATTATATATGTATTTACTTGACTATACATAACATGCTTTGTGGCCTTCTACAGTATTTTCAGTGTGTATTTTAATATATTTTTCTATTTAAATCAGAATATTTGAGTTCAACTAGGTCATATAACATAACATACTACACAGATAAACACAAATCAACCTGAAATTATGAAAATTATGATTTAATTTCGCAATAAGAATCTCGAGTTGGTTGCATGGTCATGATTTAAAAATACGAAACCCCTGCGTTAAACCAAGAATAAAATTTTGAAATACTTTTAATTTTGGTTTATAGTCAGATATTTCCACTATTTTGTCAGTATTGTTTCTGATTTTGCGATTTCCTCTGCAGTGTGAACGCAGCCAAACGGACGGGACATTGAGACAGAACAGCTTCTTATGTACAGACAGATATACAGCGTTCTAACATATCTTACACTACATTACATTACAAAAATCAAACAGCTCAAACGGCGACTGAAAGACAACATTTGAGTTCAAGATTTAAGGCTTAAACAGGACAGATCCACCGTACAATTTACATAAGTGCCAATATTAAAGAGCACTATGGCTTTGTGTTTCACGTGAGCCATGAGCAACCCAAACCTCTCCACGCCGCACACACCTACTTGTTGGGATGCAAACATGACAGCCAGAGAAAGGCCACTAGGGGGAGCTGTGACACGCGTTAGGCTTCTCGGTGGTTTGGTTCGTATTAGAGCCTCTTCCTCTTGAAGTAGTCGGCGTACTGACCGCCCAGGCCTTGGGAGTGCTGCCCGATGTAGGCGCCTTCTGACGGGGCGACCTCGGGCACCGCCAGCTGGGGGTACTCCCGCTTGTGCCCGCGGGCCTGGTTCTGAGGGAAGAGAGAGAGAGAGAGTTAGACTAAACGGCGAGGTGAATGAAAGACAGAGGAGGAGGAGAGGTGGAGGAGGTGAGAGACGAGGAGGAGGGAGTCAGAGAGAAGAAGGGATGAGGGGTGAGAGACGGATGGGAGAGAGGAATGAGAAAGAATAGATGTATCTGTGTGTATGTGGGGGGGGTGAAAGAGAGGGGGGTGAGAGGAGAGAGAAGAGGGGAGAGAGAGAGAGAGAGAGAGAGAAAAGGTGTGAGGAGAGAGAAGGGGGGGAGAGAAAGGGCATGAGGGGAGAGAGAAAGAGGGAGAGAGAAGGCGTGTGAGAAGAGAGAGAAAGAGGGGGAAGGAGAGAGAGAAAGGGTGTGAGAGGAGAGAGAGAAAGGGGGGAGAGAAAGGGCATGAGAGGAGAGAGAAAGAGGGGGAGAGGAGAGAAAGAGAGAAAGAGAAAAAGGGTGTGAGAGGAGAGAGAGAAAGGGGGGAGAGAAAGGGCATGAGGGGAGAGAGAAAGAGGCAGAGAGGAGAGAAAGAGAGAAAGGGTGTGAGAGGAGAGAGGGAAAGGGGGGAGAGAAAGAGTGTGACGGGAGAGAGCAAGAGGGGGAGAGAGAAAGGGCATGAGAGGAGAGAGAAGACATATAGAGAGAGACAGAGAGAGAGAAAGAGAGCGGGAGGAAGGGAGGGAGGAACTATAAAGAGAGTGTGTGAGAGAGAAAGAGAGAGGGGAGTAGGGGTTAGAGAACAGCAACAAACAGTAACAAAGAGAACAGCAGAGGAGAGAGAGGAGAAGAAAAGACAGAGAGAAAGAGAGAAGGATGTAAAAGGGAAATATATATATAAATACACACACACACACAGAAAGAGAGAAACCTGCCTAAGAGACAGAAGGTAAAAAAAAAAAAAAAAAAGATATGGAAAGACAAAGAGAGAGAGAGAGAATAAGAGAAACCTACAGCAGCAGTCACATCACAGAGAGAGAGAGAGAGAGTCCATAGTTTACATGTGTCATTTGAAAATAGATTGTAAACCAAGAGGCACTTCAAATGGACCCTCTTGAGCTGTGTCCACTCTCTCTCCGTCTCTGTCTCTCTCGTTCTTTCTCTCTCTTTGTGTGTGTGTGTGTGTGTGTGTGTGTGTGCAGTGTGCAGTCTGTGTGAGAAGGACACAGGGTTGATCTAAACAAACTCGTGTCAGTGGGTTGTGAACAGACCTTAAGCCTGTGTCTGTGCACCATCACTGTCTCGCCCTTGCCCTTTTTTCATTTCTTTTCTTTTCTTTTCTTTTTTTTTTACATCTCTCTCTCTCTCTCTCTCTGGGTCTGTCTCAACCTTCTCTTTCTACCCCTCTTTTTCCATCTCTCTCTCTGTAGCTTTCTCTCTTCATTTTCTCTTTCTACCTGTCTTCGCTCTCTCTGTCTTCAATCTATTTTTCTCTCTTCATCTTCTCTTTCCGCTCATCCTTTCTCTCTCTCTCTCTCTCTCTCCCCTATTCTCTCCGTTATCACCTCTACTCCCCTCTGTCACACACACACACTCTCTCTCTCTCTATCGCCCTCACCCTCTCTCTTCTTCTCGCCCACACACACGCTCTATATTTCCTCCATCTCCCTCATTCTCTCTCTCTCTCTCTCTCTCTCACGCACACACACATACACACACTCAATCACTCTCTCCCTCCTTCTCTCTCCTCTCACGTCCTTCCTCTCTCTCTCCTACTCTCCTCTATCCCTCTTTCTCTCTCCTCTACACCTCTTTCTCTCTCCTCTCTCGCCCTTTCTCTCGCCCTTTCTCTCTCTCCTCTGCCCGTCTTTCTCTCTCCTCTCACGTCCTTCCTCTCTCTCTCTTTCTCTCTCTCCCCCTCTTTCTCTCTCCTCTGCCCGTCTTTCTCTCTCCTCTCAGGCCCTTTCTCTCTCTCTCCTACTCTCCTCTATCCCTCTTTCTCTCTCCTCTACCTCTCCTTCTCTCTCGCTTTCTCTCTCCTCTCGCACCCTTCTCTCTCTCTCTCTCTCTCTCTCTCTCTCTCCTCTATCCCTCTTTTTCTCTCCTCTCACGCCCGTTCTCTCGCTTTCTCTCCTCTACCCATCTTTCTCTCTCCGCTCTCACCCTTTTTTTTCTCTCTTTCTTTCTCTCCTCTACCCCTCTTTCTTTCTTTCAGGCCCTTTCTCGCTCTCTCCTACTCTCCTCTATCCCTCTTCTCTCTCCTCTACCCCTCCTTCTCTCTCGCTTTCTCTCTTCTCTCTCGCCCTTCCTCTCTCTTTCCGCTCACACCCTTTCTCTCTCTCTCCCTTTCTCACTCTCCCCCTCTTTCTCTCCTCTCTCCCTCTTTCTCTCTCCTCTCTCGCCCTTCCTCTCTCTTTCCGCTCACACCCTTTCTCTCTCTCTCCCTTTCTCACTCTCCCCCTCTTTCTCTCCTCTCTCCCTCTTTCTCTCTCCTCTCTCGCCCTTCCTCTCTCTCGCTTTCTCTCCTCTCTCCCTTTCTCTCTCTCTCTCTCGCTTTCTCTCCTGTCTCCCTTTCTCTTTCTCCCCTCTACCCCTTTTTCTCTCTCCTCTCTCGCCTTTCCTCTCTCTCACTTTCTCTCTCTTTCTCTCCTCTCGCCTTTTCTCTCTCGCTTTCTCTCCTCTCTCCCTCTTTCTCTCTCCTCTCACACCCTTTCTCTCTCTCTCTTTCTCTCCTCTACCCCTCTTTCTTTCCCTTCCTCTCTTTCTCCTCTCATCCCCTTTCCCTCTCTCTCTCTTTCTCTCTCCTCTCACCCTCTTTCTCTCTCCTCTCTCACCCTTCCTCTCTCTTTTCTCTCACGCCCTTTCTCTCTCTCTTTCTCTCCTCCACCCCTCTTTCTCTCTCCTCTCTCCCCTTCCACTCTCTCGCTTTCTCTCTCCTCTCACCCTTTCTCTCTCTCTCTCTCTCCTCTACCCCTCTTTCTCTCTCCTCTCTCACCCTTTCTCTCTCTCTCTTTCTCTCCTCTACTCCTCTCTCCTCTTCCCCTCTTTCTCTCCTCCTCCCTCTCTCTCTCTCTCTCTCTCCTCCCTCTCTCTTCTCTTCTCCTCTCTTCTCTCTCTCTCTTTCTCTCCTCTACTCCTCTCTCTCCTCTTCTCCCTCTCTCTCTCTCTCTCCTCTCCCCCTCCTCTTCTCTTCTCCTCTCTCTCTCTCTCTCTCCTCACCCGTCTTCTCTCTCCTCTCTCACCCTTCTCTCTCTCTCTCTCTCTCTCTCTGTCCTCCACCCCTCTTTCTCTCTCCTCTCTCACCCTTTCTCTCTCTCTCTTTCTCTCTCCTCTCTCCTCTCTCCTCTCTCCTCCTCTCTCTCTCTCTCTCTCTCCTCTCTCTCTCTCTCTCTCTCTCTCCTCCTCTCTCTCTCTCTCTCTCTCTCTCTCTCTCTCTCTCTCTCTCTCTCTCTCTCTCTCTCTCTCTCTCCTCTCTCTTCTCTCTCTCTCTCTCTCTCTCTCTCTCTCTCTCCTCTCTCTCTCTCTCTCTCTCTCTCTCTCTCTCTCTCTCTCTCTCTCTCTCTCTCTCTCTCTCTCGTGGACAAAAGCTCTGTGGATGAAACGTGCTGAATAAACGGATAGAGCTCAGTGATCAATGACAAAGCGAGAGAGTGGTGTTTTTAAAGCCAAACTCGGGGCACAGCGGAGTGGCGTTACGCTCGGGTTTGAAATGATCACCGCGGAAACAAATTAAAATGAAAAGATAAAAAATGTTCACAGAAATCTGACTAAAATATGATAAAATATGCCCCGTTCATTAAAAGCTGCTGCGTGTCTGGGGCGGCGAGGTGTGTCATTTCATTTTGTAGATAACATCTCAAGAAGACAAGATCAGGAATTATTCTTTTTATTCTTCAAATCGCTCCCTTTTCTAGCTTTTTAAAGACGCGCTGTGTAACTTTACGGTAGAGAGTCCGCCATCTGCTTGTCTCCATGGTGATGTGTTTGTTTTGCCTGGTTTATTTCAGTACACGTGTTTTTATAGCTCAAAACAAACAAACAAACAAACAAAAAAAACAATTCTTTCAGTGAGCGGGCTTGCCTCTACAGAGATCTGACCTGATTATTACTTCACTTGCTCTGATCAGTTTAATGTCATAGTGTGGAACATTCCAGGCAAAGCGATAACATCTCTGGAGACAAGCAGAATGCAAACTACCACCAGAAAAGTTTCGCATTGTCTCTTTAAACTGCACATTTGCTTTAATTTGCTTTGTGTAATCAGTATTTAATGAACCATAAAATGTGAAATGTTGATTCCTCGTCCAAAAAATACCAGGAGTTGTGTTTTGTTTCATTCACACATCTACCCGAAAACACTCTGTGACACCTTGTGATGTCATGTGCTAATAAAGGAAGTGCTCCACTGTGTTTTTAAACTCCACACACCTTCACTAGAATCATGTGGATCATTTAAAAGCCTGTTTACACGTAAAAACGACGAAATATTTTATCGGAAGTGCCTTTCGTTTAGACGGTGATGGCGTTTTTGGGGCTTAAAAACGCAAAAATCTGAAACCACCCTCCAGAGCAGAAAAGTTGAATACGCTCCGCCATAGCGTTTCTGTCTACACTGCCCAAGACGCAAAACTCTGTTCAGATCTACTCACGTCGCATACACGTTTACGTCACAGACATACAGAACACAGAAACAACCATGTCGGATCATTTCCATGTGTTTGACTGTCGTGGCAAAAATAATATATCTCTTGAAGATAAATAATGAATCCATTTGCAAAGCCCGATGAGTTTTTGGAATATAGACCAAGGTTTATTCTTGTTACAGCAGATATGGACAGGGCCTAGGACAGCCTCTCCCCACCGGCAGTATGTTCCTACTACATCTCCCACCACATCTCCCGAGCATTTGAGCTCTGAGTATTTATACAGAAATACAAGTTACATACATATCAAAGCAGAGTGACTTTGGTTTCAGAGGCTGGTGCTAAATGAACATACAGTTGATGATAACAAAAGGCTTCCTGAAGGCGGAGACAGTTGTGCCTGATGAACCTTTACACATGTTAATGACTGGTCTGGGTTTCAGGTAGAAATCACATTCATTTACACAAAGACAGATTGAGAGAAATCTTTCCACAATCAAAATTTCTATCACAGGACCTTCAAGCTGCTCTATTAAACTTACAAGAGACATTCCAACAAATGTACAGAATCTGCAGAGACACTATTACTGAAAAGAGAAGAATCTGCAATCACTTCTGTCAAATTGTGGATGCACCAGTTCGTCGCAGGTGAGCCCAGCGGTTATGGACGAGACCTGGAGAACCAGTCGATGGTGGAACAACTTTGTGGAAATGTGTGGCGTGAAAACTTCCATATGTCCAAAGTTGCCATTGCCACTTTAATTACAAGCATATTCAATTGAATTTCACACACTTTGCGTCACCGTATTCACGTACATTTCCTCCCGAAAACACTCGTCTAAAAGCGGAATAAAAAGTGAAGACGCGACGCCACTTTTGCGTCTTCTGTTCAGACCAACGTCATATAAACTTAGCCTTAGTCTTGGAATTGCCAATGTCTACTGAACAAAAGGTGGTTGTTACTTCATATCTGTCACATGACATCACAAGGTGGAACAGTGCATTTTAAGCTTTGGAGGATGTAGACAGACTAATAATAAAGGATTACTCAAACATGTGTGAATGAAACAAAACACAACTCCAGGTCTGTTTTTGAGAAGGAAACAATATTCTAACATGACTTAAAGCTCACAAGAGTCAGTTTTGTGTAATATAAGACCTTTAATGGTTTTAATTCTAAACAATATATTATGCAAATCTCCATATCAACAAAGAGATTCTTAAAAAATTCTGTATTATAGCTCTGTATTGTTTTCTTTCGTGGTCAATAAAATGTTTTACAATTAGATAAAGACAGAATGAAGTGATCAGATTTTATTACTAAATATAGACTATGATTGAAAAACAACTTACTAATGTACAAGAATAAAGTCGAGAGCCTTAGCTGTAACAAGGAATTGGAAAGGAAATTAAGTTAGCTGAAAGCACACTTCACAAACTGTTCTTATCTGAATGTTACACTAGTTTAAAATAGAACCCATAACACAGCAGTGGCTCAGTGTGATGCCTTCAGTGTGGCGCCTTCAGTGTGGAGCACAGAGTGTATAAAGAAGTGGACTAAGGGAGTGTGACGTCATCCGCAGCATCACGCTCCAGTCAGATGAAGCTCACGATGGTTCCATTTTAGGATTTTTTTTTTTTTTTTATGGGCAAACTAGTGAAATTAAAACCCTAAAATCATGTAGAGCGGGACAATATAAACATTTTAAGACCAGATGAAGAGGCTCACTGCATTTTTATATCCAGTATACGGTGTGGTGCAATCAGTGCAGTGACTTTTTATTTATGTTTTTTTTATTTATTTGACAGGGACAGTGCAGTCATACATAATCACAGGCAGAGCATGCATATAGAGTGTGTAGCTAGTGTAGATTTTGAAAATAAAATACTGGGACATCACTGGTTTGTCTTAGCCTGATTCATCAGCCAGTTTCACTTTGTGGAAACTGTCTGACCTTGCAGCATTAGGATTTGTTCACTCAACAGTAGGCAGGTGCTTTTTTTATTTAACCAATCACTGCTATTTGGTCATGACACATGTAAATGGTCACATTTTCTACTCACCCATTCACACACACATTCACAAGGTGGGCTAAGTGTCTTGCCCTAGGACACAACAACAGCATTCATCTGTGGGAGCTGGAATCACACCAGCCAACCTGTGGGTTAGTGGATCTGACCACTCAACCTGTGATGTTTATGTTGAGAGCTGGATTCAAACCCCCAACCTTTAGATCAGTGGGCGAATGCTCCACCAACTGAGCTACTGCCGCCCATGTAATGCACCAAATCCCGTAGGAAGAAGGACAATAACGTCTTTCCCCTTGATAAAATTGACCAAAATTTCTCTTTGTTCCAGCTTTAAATCCTCAATCTCAGGAATCGTTGCCAACACAGAATGTATGACTTTATCTGCATCCATCTCGACTACTTTGTTTACTGTTGCGCTGTACCACAAAAGGGACTCAGACAGACGCTTGAGTTTGACGTCATGGTTTCACAGAGCTTTACTGATTGGCCGGTGCGTGGTCTACAACTTCCGAGGTTCTTACAAACTGTTTAGTGTATTCCGATTCCTGACCTAGTCTCTTGAGAGAAATGAAACTGAGGGGAGGCACTAGGTGGCACCAGCCTGACTAGGTGTGGGTTGGTTGGTAATAATAAAATTGTGAAACGAGGAACTGACCCAAATTGTACTCTTTGCCATACAAATTCATTAGGTACCTATTTCCACATGGTATGGGAGTGCCCAGGTGTTTTTTACTTTTGGAAGGTGATAAGCAATAGTCTGTCTCTTCTACTATCTACCAATATTCCCTGTTCATCTTGGGTTTGATTCTTAATGATATGTCTCTGCTTGGCTTGAGTAAAGAGCAAGAAAAGTTTTTTTTGGCGGGCCTTACAGCTGCTAAAAAAATGGTTGCCGTTAGATGGAAACCCCCTCATTCTTTATCACATCGCCAATGGGTACTTTCATTTATGGACATTGTTTATTCAGAATTGTCCACAGCGCGTATCCATAATGCAAAAGAAAAAACTATTCAGTTCTGGAGCCAAACAATATCTGATCTTAAAACCTCCTTGTTATGAGGTATATATTAGACCACTGAGCGGCTAAGTGATATTGTTGTTTTAAGTTTGTCTAAGTTTAATTTCGTAGATATTGATGAGCACTAATCTTTCATATATTTAAATTTGTCCTGGACCTGTTATGTTGGTTTGTGTATTGTTTGTTTGTTATATTAAAAACTAATAAACATTTGGTAACAGAAAAAAAAATTGTGAAACGAGTGCGTGATTAAGGAAAATATAGTCTTATGTTCTTTGTGTTTTGGTCATTTTTAAGCAGCTTTTCTGTATTTTACCTAAAAAAATGACAATGTATTTCTCTCTTTACTGTTGGCAGGGATCAGATTGGTCAAAAATAGGGACAACTGGATTTGTTTTTGTTAATTCGTTTTGTCAGTTTTGTTTTATCTGCAGAAAAATGAAAAAAGTGTGTGTGTACATGTGTTGTTTGAATGACATATATATCTGTTTACACACACAATAAAAACCGAAAAATAGGGACACCTGGGTTATTTGTTGTAAAAAACTGGGACGAATCAGTGGTTTTGGATAAATCTGCTGGGACAAGGGACACAGAGCTCAAAACTGGGACTGTCCTGGGTAAATAGGAATGTCTGATCACCTTAAACTAGTGCTAATTCTCAACAAAACAGTTTAAAAGCACAATATTTAAACACATTTTTACAACAACCGTGCAATTTCAGACATTCCCACATTCAAACACACACATACATGATATATGACTTGTGGTGTTGCTTGTTTGTCTCTGAATAAATGTACTTAGTGGCTCTGGTTCTAGATGATGAATGCATTTGTCTGTTCGTTTAAGAGAATATCATTTATCGTAGCCTGTATCTGTGTCGTACTCACGTAGTAGTAGGAGCTCCAGTCGGGGGCGGTGGGGTGGTGTGGGCGACGGGGGCGGGTGGGGCCGCGGCGGGGTGGGGGGGTCCGAGGAAGCCGGGCACCAGGGGCAGGGTGCTGTACGCCGGCAGCACCGCGGCGGCAGGGAGCACGGCGGGGGGAGGGGCGGCGCCGTTACTCACCGCGTGGAGAGACACGCCCAGAGGTTTGCACACGTCCACCTCCTGGAACAAAGATCAGCACGCATTTGTATAGAGCATAGGGCGTGTTTATACATAAAGGTGCACTGTGTAACTTTTCTGAGTGAGGGTGCGCCACCTGCTCTTCTTCATGTTACTGTTATGTGATCTTATTTCTTTGCGCAGAATGATCCACAGCAAATAAACTCAGCAATAAAGAAACAGGTCAGATTTGCTCATAGTCAGAGTGCACCTTTTACAAGCAAGTTTTAGCAATTAAATCACCTCTAATTGAATAAATATACGATAGATGCCATACTTAAATACCATACTGTTGACAAGCCCACCAGAAACCACCTTTAAAGTTTCAATTTTGTGCACAGCTGTTGTGATATTGGACTGTGTATAAAGAAATCAAATAAAATGTTCAGATATAATGCTCTTTTCAGGCTGTACAAAATACATTTGGAGCCCGTACGGCATATGCTGTGTGATTTTTGGCCCGTTTTGAGCCAATTTTTCACTCATGAGTCTGTTTTTGGGATCAGGCCGAGTTTTGGCTTAATTGTGTGTCGTGCTTCGCGTAGTATACAGGGGGTAATGAGAACCGATGAATACCTCATACCAGCCCCTGATCGGCAATCGTAGGTCTCAGGAATATCAAACTGTTTGAAATCTAGTCACCTATTGTAAGGGTTTCGCACTGTTGAAGTAGTCTGAAATTTTACGATTTAGTCGACCTTTACACTTAGAAAATCATGTTCAAAGTAAACAATAATCTCTTGTCAAAATCACTACAGAATATGTTAAAAATCCGAAATATCCAATATGAGCTCAGAGGTATGACCACGTTTATCAAAAAGAAAATCAGAACAAACATTATGAAATTTTGCAAATCTGTTAAAGGGTTGGAGCTCTGGAACAATTGTACAGAAAACCTAAAACTGTGCACCACACTCTTCTATTGTATAAAGAAGTTTAAAGGTTTAATTCTGGGCAGGTACATGAATGATGATACTTAGTTTGTGCTACAGTACCGTATTTTCCGGGCTATTAGACTCACTGTCATTAAATGGTCTATTTTCAAACTTTTTTCACAGATAAACCACACCGGACTTTAAACAAAACACAACAGTTGGATGGGTCAGTGGGACTTTGTTTGGCGCGTTGACGGTGACTCTGGGCTTTGTTCAGTTGTGGCGTGTAGGGAGGGTGCTGTCTGGGACCAACGGATTGTCGGCGTGTTCGCAGTGACTCAGTTGTTCAGTTGTGGCTCAGAGTGGCACATTGGACTTTTTCGGTTCGTTCCTCCGTTCCGTTCCTCGTCGGCGTGGAGTGATGAGTGTGTTTTTCTCTGTGCGGTCGCTGTCTGCTCTGTGTGTGTTTGCGTGTTCTGCGGGTGGTGCGGCTTTGTAGTTTACTGAAGTCGTGCTGGGACACCTGAGTGGATTCATGTATAGGGCGCTCTGGATTGCAAGGCGCACGGACGTTTTTTGATGGGATTAGAGGGTTAAGAGCGCACCTATAGCCCAGAAAATACGGTATTGTGTTGTACTGTTACTGATTTGTTTGTTTCCTCTTGCTGTATTTATGAATGAAGTGGTGTCAGTATGACGCTCTGACAAAGGAATAAAGGGTAAAGGAAGAATAAGCTCAAGTTTCAGCCTACACCTTTTCGGTCTATGTATGTTAAATATGACCGAAATCAATCAATCAATCAATAGTTTGTATAGTGTGAGAACATGAAACATTAGCTGTGAACTTTTAAACCCTGCGATTTGTTCATACACTTTGAGCTGGGGCTGAGAGAAGCGATCGAAAATATCGCACAGTCTATGTCCAACATTAGTGCTTGTATTTTTCAACTAATAATTTCATCCCTGATTACGGTGCATAGAAAATGTCACCAGCAGCTGCTTCCACCTGTGTTGGTTATGAGCCAGATGTGCATGTTCAAGACTCCCACTGACCAGAGGGTAAACTGCTCAAGTCTTCACACTGCCCACTTCATTCACAGTTATGAAGCTGGTTGGGATGAGAAAGACATGTGGGTTTAAAAAGCTTTTTCTGATTCCAGTGAAAACCTGAACTTTGATTTGATATATTATTATCAAAATGGGCCACTATCATCTACTACTAGGATGTAACAATAACTGAAATATTGTGATATCGTATCGTCAAAGTTCTAACAATAGCATCGTGGACCATCACAATATATCGAATTATTAAGTCTCTGTGCTTAAGTAAAGAGTTATGGTGCAGCAATAGCTAAAAAAAAGACAGAGAACTACAAAGACCATGATCCTTTGCTCCATTTCAGTGTAGAGTGTAACAGTTCTAAACACTTTTAAGTCTTAGTTCTTTGGATTAAGTCTTGTCAAGGCATTTTAAGAGGAAAAAGTAGCGTATTAACAGTTTTGTTAACCTCCACAAAATAGTGCAATAAATATTGTACTGTGAGACAGAGGTGGGACCAAGTCGTTGTTTTGCAAGTCTCAAGTCTTTGACCTCAAGTCCAAGTCAAGTCCAAATATAAGTTAAATACAGGCAAGTCCAAGTTGAGTGTCGAGTCACTGGCCCATATGTCCAAGTCAAGTCCAAGTCATCTGCTTTGAGCTTCAAGTCATTTCAAGTCTTTAAACCAAAATACCGGATTTTTGCAATTTATATGAATTTTAAACTAAATTGTACATAAATGTCATGGTATATTTATATATGAGTATTTACATAAGAGTTGTAGAAATGCAAATTTTTTCTTTTTAAATGTCTTGACAAGATCTAAGTATGAATCATTTCGGTCACAATAGAAAGAATTCAGATTTAAAAGTGCTTAATAACATTTATTTTGTCATGTATTCTGCACTGAAATGGAAGAATCATGTTTTTTGTAGTTCCTTGTTTTACTGTATTGTACTGTATTGTTCTGTATATTACTGCAGTACGTTTGAGGATACCATCTCACAGTACTTCAGTTACATCCATTACAAGTACAAGTTACAAGTGACTCCAGTTTTTTCCTGTAAAATTCAGCATAGAAAAGTATTTTCTAAAAACTTATATTTTTAGGAGAAGCATCAAGTTTTCTTAAGTTACAGGCCTCAAGTCCGAGTCAAGTCCCAAGTCATTGACCTTCAAGTCCAAGTCAAGTCCCAAGCCTTAGTCCATTTTATCAAGTCAAGTCTCAAGTCCTAAAAATTGTGACTCAAGTCTGACTCAAACTTGCAACCCACCTCTGCCGTGCGATGTATATCATGAAAATATCGTACCGAGAGATTTCGATATTGTTACATCCCTAATCGTGAGCTTTCCCATGAAATCGCAATAAATATTGTAGCGTGAGGTTCATTCGTGTGACGATTTTGTATCATGACACTTGGATATTGTTACACCCCTAAATACTACCCTTTTCTTTCAGCACAAAGACATTGAGTGATAAGTGGAAGTGGTCTACCAGTAAATTTAAAATGTACCTACTATAATGATCTTGATGATAATGACAAATGTACTGCTATTAACAAGTACCCTTGCCGTCCGGGGATAAGTAGTAGTGTGCCAGGCCTGAGGTATGTGGAGATGATATCAGCTGCTGGGTGTGGAGAGACGCGCCCCCTCTAAACCCAGTATCAGTGTCTTAGGTCACATCCTCAAATAAATACCAGTACGGCGCTCATATACTTCACACTGCGGTCAAAACACAGGAAGTGGTTTCGTTTTAACAGCTTTAGGTCTCACATATCTCATCGTTAGTAATGACATTAATTGCTTTCAGCGTAACTCATTTGTTATGCTTGACTAAGGTTTATAATGCTATAGATTTATGTATAAGACAGTGCACTTGAGGTCACGACTTTCTCATAAACTCTGGCAGATTTGGAATGTGAGAGGAGGCCTATACGGTTATCAATAAATAAATAAATAAATAAATAAATAAATAAAATAATAATAATAATAATAGATACAATTACTATTTTAATAACTATTCAATCTCATTTGAGCAAAAGAATCAGTATTAATTGTTCAGAAAGAAATCACATGTGTTCTGCAAAGTTGGACATTGTTTATAATGATTTTGAGCTATATCAGAAGTAGTAGTAGTAGTAGTAGTAGTAGTAGTAGTTAGTAGTAGTAGTAGTAGTAGTAGTAGTTTTATTTGGTCATTTTGCAGCACTACAAAACAAAACAAAACAAAACAAAACAAAACAATAGACTACGACCCCATGGATCATGACTGAAAGTGTTAAGGCTGAAGTAAAAAGTACTTATAACGCCTAACTCGATTAAATAATGACAGAATTCCAAGAAAGAAAAGCAGCATATGAACAGCAAGTTTACATTTTACTTTCTCTTATGATTCTTAGACCATATATATGAATATATTCTAGCTTCTTAGCGTTTTGGCGGTGAATTAGCAACGTCGTGGTGCATAGACCTACGTCAGTGTATCAGTGTTTTGAGGCGTCCACACAGTGCCAGATCAGATTCGTACTCAGATGAATTCGTGGGAGTTGGCGGCACCAGATTGTTCCATCTCTGGAGCCGTTTTCAATCGGATTAGTGTGAACGAACACTGTATCCACAACGAAAACGATTGGAATACGTACCGGTGTAGACGGGGGCCCTTTTTTTTTATATATTTTTTTTAATCATCACTCAGGTTGTTCCATATACTCATCCTTTGAACAGAAATACAATCATTTTTTTTCTTAGTTCTTGTCTTGAAAAAATGTAAGGATCGTTTGTATTAATGTTAAAAAAAAAGTTTTTTAAGAAAAGTAGTCATGGTTTACTAGTGAAGACAGTAGATCTAGTCTTCTGGGGATTCTGTAAGATTTGATTTTTATATTGTTTTTTGAAGTGCACCAAGTTAGTACAGTCTTTGGTCATCGAAGCTCTTCCATAAGTCTACTCCATGTCTGGTAAGGCACAAGCTTTTGAGAGTGGTTTGAGAGAATTGCTTTTTTTTAAATTCATTTGACATCTCAGGTTGTATTTGAATTTAAAGTTTAAAGTTTTAAATTTTAGATGTCCTCAAATTTCAGTATCTTTAATTGGCAAAAAAGTGCATTCATATGTTCTCTACAAACGACTAAGTGAGCTATTTGGACTGCTTTTTTTTTTTTTGTAATTTAAACAATTAGTATGAAATAAACTACTATTATTTGGAGTTTAACATTGCACTATTGTCTAAAAGAGTGTGTTATCACTTTTAAAAATGTAACTTTTCTGGTGCTTGTCTGTTGCTTTGCCAGAAATGTTCCACAGTATTTTATAACTTATTTATCTTCCATTTTTCCAATCACTGGTGTTTTTATTGCTCCAAAATACCATGAAAAACATGCACTCCTACTGTGAGCTGGGTCACCTCTAAAAGATTTGACCTGCATTTTAACCTTCTAAGCGTGTCACCGTGTGTGTCAGATCACCTTAATGCCATAGTGTGGAGCATTCCGAGCCAAACAATAACACGACCGCGGAGAAGCAGGGGGCAGACGCTGTAGCAGAAAGGTTTCACAGTGCACATTTAATAGTGCTATACAGCCCAGCGTAAGAAAATATATTTGAAATGTAATCTCGGACATAACCTTTGGCAGCTGCAGAGATTAAAGGTTGCCTGTTGAAGTAACTTAACCTGCACCTTCTTTTGAATGTCACTCGGAGGAAGTTTTATTAAAGGCCAGTGGTCCTCGTGAGCCGTACCTTGGTGGCATAGGCCTGTGTGGCAGTAGCAGGCTGGGAGTAGTACTGAGTCACCGCCTGCATGTAGGAATTATAGTCAGCATAGGAAGACACCGGAGGAGCCTGGGACAAAAAAAGAAAGAACACGTCATGTATCATTTGGAACATGAAGTCATAGGTTTGGTGGCGTTGAGGTAAAGCTCAAACGTGGAACCTGTGTGTGGTCCTTGTAGTCTGTCGCCGTGGCGTCCGGAGGGGCAGTGTTGTAGGTGTGAGCCTGGGCCGCAGCCTGGTAGTGCTGGTACCACTGCTGCATGGCTTCCTGTGAGAAACAAAAGAAAAAAAAAGGGAAAGATTTTATTTATAGCACAGTTCATGAACAAAACTGTAAACAAAGTGTGCACTGTGCATAAAATACATTCAATACAAAAAATACAAGTAGTACAATGTAAATTTAAACTAGATATCTATTAACTCTACTAGTGTTCATTTATAAAACTAGTAAAAGTCAAAAAGAGCACTTGGTAAAGGGCTAAACTACTCTATTCTTGCTTACTTCCTGACCCACCACATCTGAAAAGTTGTGTAAAATTGGCAAACAAAGTAGCACAATACATGGAAAAGTGCAAATTTTTGCTGTCAGTGGGATTGTATTTGTGTTATATAAAATATTAAATAATTCTGTCATTAAATTAAAATAAACTCAGGGGTCTCCAACCTTTTTTTCCCAGTGAGCTACTTTTACAAAAAGAAAAAGGTGAATAGCTCCTCATTTTTGCGGGCACAAGAAACTGAGCATATAAAGCCTTAGATGGGGACCAGGTAGATACCTATAAAACATAAACCTTTATCCATTTATTAGTGCACAAAGTTTGGCATCAAAGTGACACATTTACAATGACTTTGTTCAGTTGACACCACAGAACTATAATAAAAAATAGTTTTTTATTATAGATCCATGGTTGAGCAACAGAACTTCTGGGGTAAAAAACCAGAAAGAATAAAATATGAAAATGAATAGTCACTAAGACTTTAAACTTTAAATTAAATATTGTAAATAGAGGTTGAAATCTGTTTTTTTGTTTGACACTAAAATGGAATAATGAAACAAAACTTAAAACCACATGGCTAATTTGTAAAAAACTATTGTGTCGCTGATGTGGTTCAGCTTCTGTCAGACTAAAGGACACAACTCAGTGGAATATGAGTGTTCTTTCTGTGACAGAGGGATGTTCTGCTGATGGTGAGTCTGTTCTGTTGTTCTATTGCATTAAAAGAGATAATTCATGTCATACGCATAGACCAGGGGTGTTAAACATACGGCCCGGGGGCTGGATCTGGCCCTCCAAGACCTTCAATCTGGCCCTTGGCTGATTTTCTACTAAAATATTTTAATTATATTTTCTATTTAAATCTTGTAAATTTTCTGCGACGCTTAGCATAGCAGCGTCTCCAGCATCTCTGTGCGTGGCCCCTCCCACCAGAGCAGCACAAATGAAGACTTGTCTCTTTCCAAATGCTCTTAAAGGACGATCGTTTTGACTGTTGACCATGACACCCTCATCAAAAAAATGTCAAAAATGAGAAAAGTGGAGCGAGTGCAGGATTTTCAAAATGGACTTATTCCTAAAACAAGTTAATGTTAAAACTTTGTGTTGAAATTAGGTTGTTCATAAGTAAAAGAAAGAGTTCATCAGTTAAAATACATTTCTGTAATAGATTTGTGTTTCTCTGCACAAATATTTGAACTTATTACTATTTTTGGGGTTTATATGCCATGAGTTTTCTGATCCGGCCCCTTTGGGATCAAAGTAGGTTGGATACGGCCCCCGGACCAAAATGAGTTTGACACCCCTGACATAGACAGTGTATATGAATGGACATATATTCTAGCTTCTTAGCTTTTTGGCGTTGAATTAGCCTACTGTGCGGTGCATAGAACTACATCAGCATATCAGTGTTTTCAGGCGTCCACACGGTGCTGGATCAGAGTCGTACTCAGATGAATTTGTGGGAGCTGGCGGCACCAGATCATTCCTTCTCTTTCAGTCGGATTAGTGTGGACAAACACTGCATCCACAACGAAAACAGCTCGAATACATACTAGTGTGGACGGGGCCTTAGTAGTGCACCCTGTACTAAAATCACATTTTTCAACATCTCCCATTTGTGAATTTTGAACACTATCCACCCGTGAGTTTCAGAATGATGAGAAATTACGACAGCTGTCATAGAGATTAACAATTTAAAACAAAATATTATATCTCTGACTGGAAAAAGTCCTCGAAATGTTAACAGGAAGGTGAAACCCTTGAAAAGAGACAGCTCCAGACTAATAGAAGGCCCAAGGAGACACAAATCTGCACAACTCCCTTCTAATGAAAACATGGCTCCGTCCTTCCCCCTTTGAACCTGCTCTCCACTTGTTTGCATGGGACTTTGTTTGTGCTGACAGCTCTCCTTTCCCATTCTTCTGTTTCTCCACAAATTAAACTGGCTGTTTTATTGCTTATCTAATCATGACTCATTTGTTTGGGAGCATTAGATTGCAATTAACATTTAGAATTGGGTTTGGATCCTGCTGCAGTTTCAGAGATGGCACTTACTGCTGTGTGGAGCCCAACATGACTCAAACGGAAGAGAAATGCCACCAAAAGAAGACAAGAAAAAAGGAAAAAGAAAGTAAAAGTACATTTGGAAGGTCGATAATGCACTCGGTTACAAGTCTGCAGCCAGACTTAAAGGCGCTGTATCAGATTTTGACCTTAATAGAAGCTTCTAGCCTAAAATATCTGTACTGGAGTAAGACTAAATTTGTGCAAATATGTTTTAAAAAAAAAGGTTCAGGATATTTAAGTAAAAGTAAAAAGTACACATGAAAAATGCTACTTATTTACTGCTTTTTAACACAATTATAGTAATATTTTTAGACTGAATCAACCAATTTTAGTAGCGTTAAGACATTTTACTCAACCTAGAATTATACTCAGTTACAAATACAAGTACAGGTTTAAAACTCTACTCAAACAAAGTACAATTAATACAAAAATCTACTCAAAAAAGTACACGGTTATTATAAAAATATACTTAAAATTACAATAACTTAAGTATTAGTTAGTTTTCTCTCTACAGACAAAAAGGAAGCAGTTTTCTGGAGCGCAGCGATCGAAGGAAAGAACAAGGGAAAGGAGGAAGGACAGGAGGAGAAAGATGAGGAGAGGAAGAAGGAAAGGAGGGAGAAGAGATGGAAGGGGAGGAGGAAAAAGGAGGGAGATTAGGAAGGAGAGAAGGAGGGAGAAGAGGAAGGAAAGGAGGAAGAAAAGGCAGAAGGAGAAGCAAAAGGAGAGGAGGAAATAGGAGGGAGAGGAGAAAAGAGAGGAGAAAAAAGAGGGAGAGAAGGAAGGAGAGGAGGCAGAAGAGGTCCTCCTCATCTGCCTCCACTCTCTCAGAAGAGGGAGAGGAGGAAGGAGAAGAGGAGGGAGAGGAAGAGGGAAACGAGGAGGTAAAGGAATAGGGAGAGGAGAAAGGACAGGAGTAAAGAGAGGAGGAGGGAGAAGCGGAAGGAGAGGAGGAGGGAGAGGAGAACGAAGAGGAGAAGGGAGAGGAAGAAGAAGAAGAGGAGGAAGAGGGAGAGGAGGAAAGAGAGGAGAAAGGAGAGGAGGGAAAGGAGGAAGGAGATGAAGAAAAAGGAGGGTGAGGAAAAAGGACAGGAGGAGAAAAGAGAGGAGGAAAAAGGAAGGAGAGTAGGAGGGAGTGGAAGAAGGACGGGAGGAGAAGAGGAGGAGGGAGAGGAAGAAGGAGAGGAGAAAAAAGGAGAGAGAAGAGGAAGAAGGATGAGAAAAAGAGTAGGGTGAGGAGAAAGGAGAGGAGGAGAGAGAACAGGAAGGAGATGAGGAAGGAGAAGAGGAAGGAGATGAGGACGGAGAGACGTATTCTCTCGTCTTTGCCAAATGTGGCTGGTGTCTGTCCAAATATCTCCACTCGTCTGTTTGGTGCAGTTTCAGCTCCTTCTCTCACCGCTCCATTGTCTCATTATGAATCTATCTCTCCGTCCGCCGCTCCAACTCCCTGTCACAGCTTTTAACACTTTTATGAGACGCCACAGAAGACGAGTATATCTGTATTTAGAATGATAAGCGCACACATAGATCACAATTTATCATTTTGTTAATCTATATATATGCATTTTATTTTATATTTTGTTCCATGTTCCTTAAAGTCTTACCCCAGCTTTACTTTCACCGCAAAACTCTGCTCTGGTCTCAAAGCCTTCATCACAGTGAAGAATTACGATGTTCAAAATGCAGAAAATTAGTGAGGAATAACTTTGGGCCACTGCAAACTCTTTAAAATGATCTAGTTCTGTTTTCACAATCCGGTACAGCACCTTTAATAACACTTGAGAACTCAGACGGGCCTGATTGATACCGGATTAATTAATCAGAGAAATTAATGGTCCTTCCGTATCTTATAACTAAAAAAAGAGAAATAAAATACACTGAAAAGCATAGTGTCCATCTGCAAAATCAATGATATTTTACAATGTTAAACGAGCAGTGTTCTTGTCCGTTTCCCGTGTGTCACTGAAATAAACCAACCTGACCGGACGGCTCTGTATGAGGATTTCAGTCTGGATTTACAAGGCTTACTTTTTGTCTTGACCCAGTTTTGGATGGAATATTCTGAATATTCTACACAACATTATCCCACCGTACTCCAGAAGTTGCCGTGGGCGATGCCATCATCATTTGAGATGTATTATTTAGCATGGGACTGCCAGTCTTTGACAAATAAGCAAATGAGTTCTATACAGATTGCAAAGCTGCTTTAAAGCCTCACAGAGAATCGGTGCAGTGTTGACTTGTTGGTGCACGTGAACGTTGACCATTTTACACAAATCAACCTACTTTATATCATATTATAACGTCAAAACTTTTCTCAAATTCTCTATTGAAACTAACGGGATTTCCACTTAAAGGTCTTTTATTACACAAAATTGTCTCTTGTGAGCTTTAAGTCAGGTCATAACGCTGTTACCTCATCAAAAACATACCTGGAGTTGTGTTTTGTTTTATTCACATCCGTCTGAGTCAATCGCTCTGTTCCACCTTGCAGAAGTGGGGACGTGCAAATTGTGACTTGAACTCGAATCAGACTTGAGTCACAATTTTTAGGACTTGAGACTTTGACTTGATAAAATGGACTAAGACTTGGGACTCGACTTGGACTTGAAGGTCAGTGACTTGGGACTTGACTCAGACTTGAAGCCCGTGACTCGAGAACCACTTTTAAATCTGAATTCTTTCTATTCTGACTGTAATGATTCACACTAAGATCTTGTCAAGACATTTTAAAAGGAAAAAATAACATTTCTGGAACTCTTACATATTCTATAAATACTCATATATAAATATACTATGATTTTTATAGAGCAATTTATCTTACAAGTCATAAAAACTGCACAAATTTAAGTTATGTTTGGTACGTAACACTTGAAATGACTTGAAGCTCAAAGCAGACGACTTGGACTTGACTTGGACTTATGGACCAGTGACTTAAGACTCAACTTGGACTTGCCTGTATTTGACTTGGGACTTGACTCGGACTTGAGACTTACTTGAGGCTTGCAAAACAACAACTTGGTCCCACCTCTGCCACTTTGTGATGTCATGTAGAAGTAGTTTTCAAGTTAACAGCTGCATTTTACCTTTAGTTCTGTAGAAATGGGAAATTCCAGGACTAAAATTCTTGTATTATTTCATTTCATTTATTTATTTGTTTGAGCCAGGTACAACAAGATTCAAAAACAACAACAAAAATAATGATATGGACATGACATATTTGGGACCTGGTGCTCAAAAAGACTAGGATGAATTTTAAAAAACTTATGGAGTCCTACCCCATTATTATCACATGACATCACAAGGTAGAATGTGTAAATGAAATAAAAAAAACAACTCCAGGTCTGTTTGTGACTAGGAAACAACATTATAACATAGATCAGAGCCCTTTAATATTCCCTTGGTCTAAAAAACAATCAGCTGCAAATGTAACATAGAAAGATGAGCACACAGAGAGCAGTGTGTGTATACCTGTGTGTATACCTGTGTGTATACCTGTGTGTATACCTGTGTGTATGCCTGTGTGTATGTGTGTATACCTGTGTGTGTGTATATGTGTGTATGCCTGTGTGTATACCTGTGTGTATACCTGTGTGTATGCCTGTGTGTATACCTGTGTGTATACCTGTGTGTATACCTGTGTGTATGCCTGTGTGTATGTGTGTATGCCTGTGTGTATACCTGTGTGTATGCCTGTGTGTATACCTGTGTGTATGCCTGTGTGTATGCCTGTGTGTATACCTGTGTGTATACCTGTGTGTATGCCTGTGTGTATACCTGTGTGTATGCCTGTGTGTATACCTGTGTGTATGCCTGTGTGTATGCCTGTGTGTATGCCTGTGTGTATGTGTGTATACCTGTGTGTATACCTGTGTGTATGTGTGTATGCCTGTGTGTATATGCCTGTGTGTATATACCTGTGTGTATACCTGTGTGTATGCCTGTGTGTATACCTGTGTGTATACCTGTGTGTATACCTGTGTGTATACCTGTGTGTATATGTGTGTATACCTGTGTGTATACCTGTGTGTATACCTGTGTGTATACCTGTGTGTATACCTGTGTGTATACCTGTGTGTATACCTGTGTGTATACCTGTGTGTATGCCTGTGTGTATACCTGTGTGTATGCCTGTGTGTATACCTGTGTGTATACCTGTGTGTATGCCTGTGTGTAGGTGGGCGCTGGTGGTGGCCGCGCTGTGGGAGAAGGAGCTGGAGGTCTGAGAGGCGACTGGTGCGACAGGAGCAACGGGGCCGGTGTACACGGCTGCACCTGCCGCCCCGCCCTGCGCCTTGGCCCCCATAGACCCTGTGCAAACAAGAGGACAAGATTATAGACTGAACTCACTGCAAAGACTATCAAGATTATTATTTCACACTTTGTTCATTTTAAATCACAATATTAACCTAAACCAACTTAATAATAGAAACACCCTGAAACACTGTCACAATACATTATACAACTTGGTATATATTTTAAAAAATAACAGAAATTACAGAATAAGTGTGTAGGAAGTGCCAGTTTCCTTCTGCTATAACTAACAATGCATTCATGGAAAGGCTGTGTTTATTTTTCAGTATCTGTTCCTATCACCTCCACTTTGTAAATAAATAATAATAAAAATAATTGAATTGTAAAATTGAGAGGTTGAGGAGAGAGAAGGGAACGATGAGAGGGTGAGAAGCGTGAAGGGGACAATGAAAGAATGAGGAAAGTGAAAGGGATGATGAGAGGATGAGGAGATAGTGAAGGGGCTGATGAAAGGCTGAGGAAAGTGAAAGGGACGATGAGAGGATGAGGAGTGTGAAGGGAACAACGAGAGAATGAGGAAAGTGAAAGGGTCAATGAGAGGATGAGGAAAGTGAAAGGGATGACAAGATGATGAGGCGAGAAGGGAAAACTGAGAGGATGAGGAGAGTGAAGCGGAGGATGAGAGAAGATGAGAGGACGAGGAGAGCGAAGGAACAACGAGAGGATGGGTAAAGTGAAAGGGACGATGAGAGGATGAGGAAAGTGAAGGAGACAATGAGCTGATGAGCAGAGTGGACAATGAGATAATGAGGAAAGCGAATGAAAAGAGTAGAGAATGAGAAGAGTGAAAAAAATGACAAGAGAATGAGGAAAGTGAAGGAGAAAACGAGATGATGAGGAGAGTGAAGGGGATGATGAGAGAAGATGAGAGGATGAGGAGAGTGGAAAATAAAATGAGAGGATGAGGAGAGTGAAGGGGATGATGAGAGGATGAGGAGAGTGAAAAATAAAATGAGAGGATGAGGAGAGTGAAGGGGATGATGAGATGATGAGGAGAGTGAAGGGGATGATGAGAGAAGATGAGAGGATGAGGAGAGTGGAAAATAAAATGAGAGGATGAGGAGAGTGAAGGGGATGATGAGAGGATGAGGAGAGTGAAAAATAAAATGAGAGGATGAGGAGAGTGAAGGGGATGATGAGATGATGAGGAGAGTGAAAAATAAAATGAGAGGATGAGGAGAGTGAAGGGGATGATGAGAGAAGATGAGAGGATGAGGAGAGTGGAAAAATAAAATGAGAGGATGAGGAGAGTGAAGGGGATGATGAGATGATGAGGAGAGTGAAGGGGATGATGAGAGAAGATGAGAGGATGAGGAGAGTGAAAAATAAAATGAGAGGATGAGGAGAGTGAAGGGGATGATGAGAGGATGAGGAGAGTGAAAAATAAAATGAGAGGATGAGGAGAGTGAAGGGGATGATGATGAGATGATGAGGAGAGTGAAAAATAAAATGAGAGGATGAGGAGAGTGAGGGGATGATGAGAGAAGATGAGAGGATGAGGAGAGTGGAAAATAAAATGAGAGGATGAGGAGAGTGAAGGGGATGACCGAGAGGATGAGGAGAGTTAAAAGGACGACAAGATAATGCGGAAAGTGAAAGCAACGATGAGAGGATGACGGAAGTGAAAGGGAAGATGAGAGAATAAGGAGTGTGAAGGGGACTGTGAGATGATGAGAAGAGTGAAGAGGATGACGAGAGGATGATGAATGTGAAAGGGACGACGAGAGGATGAGGAAAGTGAAAGAGACAATGAGAGGATGAGGAAAGTGAAGAGGACGATGACATGACAAGGAGAGTAAAGAGAAGGACGAGAGAATGAGGAAAGTGAATGGAACGATGAGAGAATAAAGAAAGTAAATGCGACGATGAGAGGATGAGGAGGATTAAGGGCTTGTGAGCATATTTATTTTTGTTTACTGACACAAATGGAAACCTTACCTTGCAAGACAACACTGGGCATCACGCTGGCCAGGTTCAGGTAAGGATTAGAGGGCAGTCGGACCTCTTTGGGTGGATCTCCCAGTAAAGAACTCTGACCACTGTTCACCTGCAAAAAGAAAACACTCATAGTTACACCTCACCGACACCGTCCAGTCACATTGTCAGTGGAACAAATAACACCGAGCAACTTCTCGCCATAGCAACATAAGTTTAGCAATGCTCTTATAATATAATGAACTAGGAGCTGAGGGAACCAGGGTACTGCTATGTGCCAACTTAATTACACATGGCCCTGCATTAAAAAGACTTGGGACTTGCGTGTGCTCCCAAAAGTAGCTAAAAGTGATTATGTCTCTACACTAACGTATTATGATGGTGTGTTAATAGACATGCCCCGTGTTTAAACCAGGGACAAATGCGGCAGACGGCTCAAACAAGTGAGCAGAGAATGGCATTGTGGGTAATACGTCCAGGGGAAATAAGGTTGTTGTCCGCGAAGGTTTCAGTTATTCATGAGGTGTTGTGTATTGTTACAGGGGACATTTTGAGGACTTTTCACCATTCAGAATGTATAATGTGTAGTTTTCAGTTGTCTATTGCTCTGACAACGATTACTGTTCATGATTCTGAAACCCGTGGAATCATATGTTTATAATCAGACTAAACTGAGTAAGTGGACACTCCTGCTCACATTCAGATAATACTCCCTACAGCTCTACAACAACTCACCCTTATGTAACAGATAATGCTCCCTACAACAGTACAACAACTCACTTTTACATAACAGATAATACTCCCTACAACTGTACAACAACTCACCCTTATGTAACAGATAATGCTCCCTACAACAGTACAACAACTCACTTTTACATAACAGATGATACTCCCTACAACTGTTCAACAACTCAGCTTTATGTAACAGATAATACTCCCTACAACTGTACAACAACTCAGCTTTATGTAACAGATAATACTCCCTACAACTGTACAACAACTCACTTTCACATAACAGATAATACTCCCTACAACTGTACAACAACTCACTTTCACATAACAGATAATACTCCCTACAACTGTACAACAACTCACTTTCACATAACAGATAATACTCCCTACAACTGTACAACAACTCACTTTCACATAACAGATAATACTCCCTACAACTGTACAACAACTCACTTTCACATAACAGATAATACTCCCTACAACTGTACAACAACTCAACATAACAGATCAGCTTTATGTAACAGATAATGCTCCCTACAACAGTACAACAACTAAGTCTAAGTCTAAGTCATGTAAAATGTTTAAAACACTGTCAAACTATCTGATAAGGTAGGAGTATATGTAAAATACAATAATTAGCCTGCTCCTACATCACATAATAAAAAACATAAAGACTTGACAGGGTGCAGCTGTTCCCTGACACATTATTTTCTTTCCCTATAAAAATGTTTGCTTTTTCTGCCATTGAATTTAACCCAAGTCAACACCTGAGAGCCATAAAAATGTCCAGTGACAGCTCTACACCGGCTTTTTAACACCGGCTGTTCTGTCGCTGCACAAAAGAGCAAAATGTCGTGGGGAAAATTCAACTTCAGTCTCTCAGTATTTTGGGGGATAAAAATCAAAAAGACAATATATTTACTGCATCGAGCTCAACGGTCAATAACAACTATAGAAAACCTGTCACTAGGAACTACTATATGCCCTTACCATGGTCCCGGGAGGCGCTGGCTGTCGCTCGGTGCAGCCCGATGAGGAAGAGGAGGATGTGGTGGTGGACACAGTGGGGGTGGTGGAGAGGGGGAGGTTGGTGCAGTTTGGATCCCCCGTGGAGGCTCTGGTCTGCAGGTAAGGCATGACTCCCGCTGGGCTGTTGTGGCTGGACACTGGGGCAGCCTCTTGACCCAGTTCTGTGGAGGAGGATGGGACAGTTAGAGAAATCACGCAATTACGAGGTCAAGTAAGGAGGTGTTAAGGTTATACTACCCTTTACCTTTTCAAATTCAGATATTTGCTTCATATTTTGCAGTCATTTGAGTTAAAGCTGTAATATATGTAACAATTAGAGAAGTAAGAGTAACTGTAATGAACCAAAAAGTTAAGCTATATATAAATTGTACTAAAACAGAGCAAAGGATCATGGTCTATGTAGTTTCCTTTGTTTCTTTTAGTTATTGCTGCATCACAACAATGAATTTAAGCAACGACACTTGAGTTCTGATGTATTGTGACGGCACATGATGTTATCAAGAGACTTTTGACGATACAATATCTCGATATTTTAAGTATTGTTACATCCCTAGTAAACAAATTTACTGACCCATAAGAGACATAATAGCTCACTCATTATGATATACAAATAAATTATACTAAGATTCAAATCTTAAAATAATTAAAATAACAAAATTAGCAGAGACTTATATACTTATATACTATACGTATAAGCAGTGTTGGGAAGGTGACTTTTAAAATGTATTCCCCTACAGATTACAGATTACACACATCAAAAAGTATCTTGTAACGTAATCCATTAAATTACTTAAAGTGAGTAACGTAATCTGAATACTTTGGATTACTTGGTTTGCTGTAGAGAAGCAAAGACGAGGATATCGTAACATAAGATGTTTTGTCTGCTAAAAGAAAATAAAAAGACCAGACTTTACTGAACCAAAGTAAAAATATTATTAATAGAAGAGGAGGAGACACATCCGCGCAGCATGATTTAGTCCTGGTTTAGTCCTGTTAAATCCTGTTAAATCTTGTTAAATCTTGTTTTAGTCCTGGTTCAGTCCTGGTTTAGTCCTGGTTTAGTCCTGGTTTAGTCCTGGTTTAGTCCTGTTTTAGTCCTGGTTTAGTCCTGGTTTTAGACCTATTTTAGACCTGGTTTAGATCTAGTTTAGACCTGTTTAATTTCCGGCAATGAGTGGAATTACGAAAAAAAAAAAAAAAACCTGCCCAAAATGTGAAAACAGGAAACCAGGAAAATACTGCTGTGTAATCCATTTATTTCAACAAAGTAACTGTAATCCAATTACCACTCAGTGAAACAGTAACTGTAACTGAATACAGTTACTCATAATTTGTACTCTGATTATGTACCTCCGGTACATGTAATCTGTTACCTCAACACTGCATAAAAGTACAAATAAAAAGCAAAAACTTCTTCATGGAGACAAGCAGGTGGTATACGCTTCACTAGAAAAAGTTACGCAGTGCATCTTTAATTGCTTTAATCTGTAGGTTCATCTTTGTCATTAAATCCTTTAAAAGAGCATTGTGCCATTTTTCTGGTGAATGCTTCAAATGTTTTTCTCCATCTGAATTAATTCATTAATTAATCATTGCATTTACATAATGCCTTTCAAAACACCCAAAGCACTTTACAGTTCATTGTTCATTCACTCCACACTCAGTCATACACACTCCACTTTCTTAGGCATTGTGGGTGAAGTGCCTTGCCTAAGGACACAACAACAGTTTTTTTGTTTTTTTTTGCCACTAGCTCCTGACTGTGGCACCTGGAAATCCCATCGGTCTCCCATCCAAGTACTACCCAGCCCTGACCTTGCTGAGTTTCTGAGATCTGGCGGGATCAGGGTTTGACAAGCTGATATGGCCACGCTCAAACAGTGAAATGTTATTGGTCTAAACTGTTTCACAGAATGGTCTTAAATCTTTCTATCTCCATGGAGACCAAACCAGACCAAGCTACAGGTCACATCTGTGGGGAGAAGACCCTCTCTCTTAGTCAGAATGCCTGTTTTTTTTTAGGTACTTTTGAGCTATAAAAGCACCTGTAATAGAATAAACATAAGGTAAAGCTGTTTAAAGTCATAGTGTGGAATATTTCAGACAGAGCAATGACATATCCATAGAAAGAAGCAGGTGACGGACGCCCAGCCAAAAAGCTACACAGAGCACCGCGTTTGCTATTGTGTGCATTATGTCACCATGGCACCTGATGAACATTCAGCCATACACATGCATATAGACAGTGTTGGGAAGGTGACTTTTAAAATGTATTCCCCTACAGATTACAGATTACATACCCCAAAATGTAGTTTGTAACGGAATCCATTAAGTTACCTAAGGTGAGTAACGTAATCTGAATACTTTGGATTACTTGATTTGTTGTAGAGAAGCAAAGACCAGGAAATCTTCACATAAGATTTTTTGTTTGCTAAAAGAAAGTGAAAAGGCAGAGTCTTTAAAAATATTATTGATAGAAGAGGAGGAGACACGGTCCACGCTGCATGGTTGAGTCCTGTTAAATCCTGTTTTAGACCTGGTTTAGTCCTCGTTTCTTCCTGGTTTAGTCCTGGTTTAGTCCTGGTTTAGACCTGGTTTTAGTCCTGCTTTAGTCCTGGTTTTAGACCTGGTTTAGACCTGGTTTAGACCTGGTTTAGACCTGGTTTTAGTCCTGCTTTAGTCCTGGTTTAGACCTGGTTTAGACCTGGTTTAGACCTGGTTTTAGACCTGGTTTAGACTTGGTTTTAGACCTGGTTTAGAACCTGGTTTAGACCTGGTTTAGACCTGGTTTTAGTCCTGCTTTAGTCCTGCTTTAGACCTGGTTTAGACCTGGTTTAGACCTGGTTTAGACCTGGTTTAATCCTGGTTTTGTCCTGTTTTAGACCTAGTTTAGACCTGGTTTAGACCTGGTTTAGACCTGGTTTAATCCTAGTTTAGACCTGGTTTAGACCTGGTTTAGACCTGGTTTAGTCCTGGTTTTGTCCTTGGTTTAAACCTGGTTTAGACCTGGTTTAGACCTGGTTTAGATCTGGTTTAGACCTGGTTTAGTCCTGGTTTAGACCTGGTTTAGACCTGGTTTAGTCCTGGTTTAGTCCTGGTTTAGACCTGGTTTTAGACCTGGTTTAGACCTGGTTTAGACCTGGTTTAGACCTGGTTTAGACCTGGTTTAGACCTGGTTTTGTCCTGTTTTAGACCTAGTTTAGACCTGGGTTTAGAACCTGGTTTAGACCTGGTTTAGACCTGGTTTAGACCTGGTTTAGTCCTGGTTTTGTCCTGTTTTAGACCTAGTTTAGACCTGGTTTAGACCTGGTTTAGACCTGGTTTAGTCCTGGTTTAGACCTGGTTTAGACCTGGTTTAGTCCTGGTTTAGTCCTGGTTTAGACCTGGTTTTAGACCTGGTTTAGACCTGGTTTAATCCTAGTTTAGACCTGGTTTAGATCTGATTTAGACCTGGTTTAGACCTGGTTTTGTCTTGGTTTAGACCTGGTTTAGACCTGGTTTAGATCTGGTTTACACCTGGTTTAGTCCTGGTTTAGATCTGGTTTAGACCTGGTTTAGACCTGGTTTACCTGGTTTAGACCTGGTTTTAGACCTGGTTTAGACCTGGTTTAGACTTGGTTTTAGACCTGGTTTAGACCTGGTTTAGACTTGGTTTAGACCTGGTTTAGACCTGGTTTAGTGTCCGGCAATGAGCGGAATTACTGAGAAACAAAAAAAAAAGGGATATAGCTCCAAATGTGAAAACAGGAAAATACTGCGGTGTAACCCATTTATTTCAACAAAGCAACTGTAATCCAATTACCTCTCATTCAAACTGTAACTGTAACTGAATACAGTTACTCATAATTTGTACTCTGATTACATAACTCCGGTACATGTAATCTGTTACTCCCCAACACTGCATATAGAACACCCCCAGCATGATGTCTTTATACTTTCATAAGAAATATCAAAAAGGTAATCATTTCTATAAGTAACTATACACTAGAACTTGCTGAATTGCAACCAAAATTTCAGCTTCAACCATTTGCATTAAACATTACTGTTATAGAGTGATATGATGTCATCCGAACACCAGCAATTTGAGACAGGAGTCATTATGCTAAGTGCCGCTAACTGGAGGCTAACAGCTCCGCAATATCTCACAAACGCACCATCAGTCATCGTTGTGTTTATTTATTTTCTTCAATCTCTCAAAATTTCACCCACTGGAGGCTTTAATATACACGAATTTGCGCATTCAGACGTATAAAGCAGAACGTACAAGAGAGTGAGAAATGCTGAACCAGAAGCGAGCATGCACACTGATAAACAGCACTTATGTGGAATCCAATACTGTAGTGACAAATGACTCCACGGGACACGAGAATCAGGGCTTAATCTGAACTATATGCAGATAACAAGCGTTTGATGGTGATGTATGCATTTTGTACTGAGAGGTGGAACTTTTTTATCCACTGCTGGGTTTCAGATGACGCCACAACATCTTATAGACCAACCATATTTCAAACAGATGAGGCAGCTGGAATGAATGTAGCTGAAATATAGATTTTTGTTGTGATACAGAGTTCTTTGGTCTCGTTACTAACATATAGAATCAGGTTCAACATTTGTACTCACTGTATTTGAAAAATGCAGTGTAATCAATAGGGAAACGGTTTCTTGCACCTTATCTGGGAGAATGAGATCGTCACATTCTGAATCAGAAAAACATCTATAGACCAGATCAAACAGATGGGGGTAGCTAAAATTAATATGGGAAAAATGCAGATTTTTATAATACAGTGAATTCTTAGATCTAGTAACATATTTAATCAGCTTCAACACCTATTTCTATTGAAAAATGAAAATGCAATGCGATCAGTAGGGAAAACTGTCTCTTGGACCTTATCTGGGAGCATGACATCATTCTAAATCTGAAAAACACTGACAGACCAATGATGTTTCAAACAGATGGGGGAAGTTAATAAGGTTAAAATGCAGATTTTTGTTGTAAAACAGTGAGTTCTATCTGGGAGTATGACATTCTAAAACTGAAAACCATCTAGACCAGGGGTGGGCAAACTACGGCCCGGGGGCCGTATACGGCCCTTTAAACCTTTTAATCCGGCCCGCCGAACTGGAAGAAATTACAAAAAATAAACCTTGTTGATATTTTATT